CTAAATACCTATCGTGAGTGTCTTCAGACCAGGATCTTAAGTAGCTGCCTGTTGATTTCTGCGACAGCCTAGGTCAGATCAAGACAATGTACAAGTTTATAGGTGAGGTTGACTTTGGTTTGTTCCCTTTCCTGAAAGAGGTCGTAATTCATACGCTCGAATGGCCAAGTCACGAGTCGGTGCTCTTGTCTTCTCTTGTAGACTTGGTTGAATTGTTTTTGCAGGTGCGAGATCACGGGTACAAGGCTCGCTGGGTCACTTTGGTCAGATCGTTTGCTGAAATGGAACATCAAGCTGGTTGATGATAAAGGGCGCCAGTGGGAGGCTCGGCTCAAGTAGTCCCTCCCCACCTTCACAACTTCTACTTTATCTTATTTAATCAGAACAGAATACAGAATAGCCAAATGACAGGAGATCAAACTGCATTGTGATGAGAATCTGGTACAACACCACTTCATTGCGACCACAGGGCGGTAAACATTCGGACGGGTCATTTAGGATTCCTTTGCCATTCAGGCTCTAATGCCAGCCACCACCTGATCGATGAACTCCTTGGGGTGGTCCAGGACGGCCTATGCGATCGTCAAAAGATTGATACTGCAAAACGAAGAAGTTCTTACAAAGTGGTTGCCTCCTTCGACCACGAAAAAGCGCGTGGTCCTTACTTTCTTGCCTTTGGCCGCATCCTCTTCGTGCTTTCTCTTGGTTTCGAGGTACGCCCAAGCGCTGTCACAGAGGGTGCGAGTTGCCCCAACATAGGTTACAGGCACTTTTGGGAAAAACGTTTGGGTGAGCTTCTCGTCATAAAGGACCCTGTCACTGAAGTTCTTTAGGGTCGACTGCATCGGCTGAGCACACCTGCGGGTGAGTTGAGGAAAGTCACAAGACGGCGACTATGAACGGAACTTACATCGGAAATTCACTCCTAGCAGCAGCTTCCCCGGTATCGTACCTCTTGAGTTGCTCTGGGATGAATGAAGTGGTGTGATCGGTGCGCTTACGATTGTCTAGACTGGCAGCATGGAAGTCTGGGTGATCGTAGTATGAGCTGACCCAAGCCATAAAGTTATCGGCTGTTTCCTGTTCTGTCTTGGAGTTGGGATCGGTCCATGGATTATAGAACTCTGCATTGGCGGGGATATCCATGCCAAAACAAAAAATCGGGGGATCTTAACGAGGTCAGCCAAGATTTCACAACGATTACTTTCCGTTCAAACATACCATCTAGGACGAGGTCCTTCACGTATGCCTCCAACAAAGTGTATGTTTCTTTAGAAAATATGTTAGGGTTCGAGAAGAGGGCCATCGCAGTCGGGCAACCCATTGACCAACCCAACAACGCAATGCCTCCCGACCTACGATCTGCACTGATCTTCGGAACAGATTCCTGCTCGACAAACTGTTTGACAAAATCCCCAACCAGAATTGCAAGCCTGTCTAGGAAAACATTGCGGCCATTCTGTAGATCATCGATATCGGCGTCGGAGTACTTGCTGGAACCAGGAAACCCCCTGCGGTTCCAGATCACGGTCCGCAAGTTGTATCCATGACCGTAAGTACGCAATTTTTCAAAGCTCTCTGTACATGCCTGATAGTAACAGCCTCGAAAAATGTTACATCGAGAGAAACATACCGCCGTTGAAGGCGCTGCCATGAAAGGCGATCACGGTCGTATAGTCGGTTGATGATGGACTGGGGGGGCCGCTGTCAGTGAAGTAAATGTCGATTGCGTCGGTCAAAGTGTAGGTATGGGAGGAGAACATGGGAAGATTTGTACCAGTGGGTTGAAGATAAGCACAGTATTTGGGTGGCGTCATTGACCACGAAAATGTCTTACCTCTATAATCATCAGAGTCGACCTGCAAAGTACAAAGATTTCCTTGGTCATGAAGTGCATGACATAAGCTGCATAGACAAAGTGATAACGAAAACGTCGAGGACGCAATAAGATTGGAGATGTAAATAGATATGTGGTTGCCCGATGCGCCACGAAAGCTGCACTTGAGTTTCTTTGTTAACATCAACGTATAGTCACAAAAGAAAAGAAAAGATGTGGCACGTATACGCAAGTACTATGATACAATCTACAAACGTTATTTACCCACTCTATGCAAAATGCAGGTATATCTGATGAAACCTGGAATCTAAGTTCAAAGCAAGGTAACAGAGAAGGGTATCTATATATCTGTTTGTTTCAAGGCGATGGTTTGCCTCGGACGAAAATCCACGATATGGCAATGAGTATCCGGAACCCGACTGCAATGCCCAGGGTGCCAGCCGATCCGATCTGCCCCAATAACGCTCGTCCAGCAAATGCACCGACGAAGAGAGCGACGGCCGCAAGGAGCCTGTGATCGCGCGACACCACCTTTTCCCGAAGCTTAAACAAACGTGGGTCGGCCACGAGTTCGACCCAGACTGTGGTTAACACGACTGTAAAAAGAAAATGGTAAGCCATCGTTCGAACGACAAAGCCCTAGCGACGAACTGGTAGTTCCGAATTGGGTATTGAGTCTTTTGCCCAGCACTCCTTGGACACCAAGACTTGCGCTCATGAAGGCAAGAGCGACGAAGGACAAAGCATTATTCCAGGCAGGATCATCCCTGGCGTCGGCGATGCCAGCCTCTCCGCTTTTCCAGATAGTGACTGCAGCAGCCATCGTGAGCAGCGCTTGGAGAACTGTGCCTGCGATGAGCCAGGTGCGCTTCTTTGGCCCCACCCGATCGCCGACACGTCCAACGGCTGCACCCAAGTTGAATGAAATGAGCGAGCATAAAGCTTGTTGATCAGCTCTGTGGAAAGACAAATCTCTGAATCCTTTTGGACCCTCGAAAAGACGTGCCAGTGCCAACGCCAACTGTTAAACAGAATCTATATAAACTCATTATAAAATGTGACCCAAATCGCACCTGCGCGAAATTTCCCGTTTGGAAACCGCACCAAACGAATATAGCAGAGAATGAGATGACGTCTCTGAGAATCGCAACAGTAAGTCGGTGCCAGACGCGTCAAACAAAAAACTTACATGTATCCAGTCATAAAACAGAACGCCGCGAGTGGGCCCGTGGACTGCTCTGGGTCGACCTCAGAGTTGAGGTACGACCAGAACGACGAGGACGACGAGGACGACCCTTGCTCAACATCCCCCTTGTTGCTCATCGTGGTGGAAGACGAATTGGCCAAGTAATCATCGGGAGCAAGAGAAGAAAGTGGTTCAGACCCCGAATCCGCGGCGGCCTTCCGATCCGATGGTGTCATTTTTTCACCTTTTAACACCAGCCCTGATGGCGCACAAATGGCGTATCGTGTCTCGACAATCAACGCAGGTATTATATACCTTTTCTTGATAGGCTCTTCTATCTTGGAGTGACAGTGCTTGGCTGCTTGGCAATATCCATCTCTGGAGCCAATGACATCGCGTTCCGTTTTCGCTGTCATCCTCGGCATAATCTGGGCATCGTAATCTTTCGCCTACAGCACTCCCCGTCGGGCTTGAAGCGGCCCATGTCTTTCTTTATTTCTCATTCGACACGTCTCTGTCAATAGCCAAGCCGCCAAAAGACAATCTATCGACCCAGAATACTTGGAAGTATTGCCCGGCCTTGGGTGGAAGGGCAAGCGGCCTTGGCTCATGCATGCGCATTGCGCGGTCACTGGGCGACTGAAGAAGCTCTTAGCTAGGAAATTCGAGACTCGGGCTTATGAAGGGCCTCGCGGACACAATCATAATTATTGTCCGCTGAAGCCCTTCATACGGACGTGATTCAGTTTTCGTTCCTGCCGGGTCGCGACTGCTCTCTGTGAATTCAAGAGAGTTCTACGGAAACACCCATGCCATACATCTTGCGCTTGATTCACGAGCATTTACCTGGTTCCGTTTACAAGAACTCTCGGCGTCTCCAAAACATTTGATCACTTAGCTCGACATTACACACACGACCATGTCTACTCATACCCATCCCAAGAACATCCACGCTGTCACATTTGCCAAGAGGA